AACGTTTTTATAACCTCAAAATAAAAAATGAGATAGTTAACCTTCTGAGTTAACAAACCTGTGAACTAAAAATTTGTTTTTAGAGAATGAAGAAATGTATGAGAGAAGAATAAATAAAAAGAAAAAAAAAAGGAAATGGGCCAATGTCATAATCATACAATGAAAATGAAAAATAAACCTTAGGATATATGGCAGAAAGAGACATTGAGGAATCTTATCTTTGGGTCATTCATATTCTGTGTTGTTGACTTCAGAGCTATTTTTCTCAGATCCAATTTACAGACCAGATTTGCAGTGGCAACTACTTGAACAAACAAGTCAATGAAAAAATTATAACAGCATAAATAATTTCAACAACTTTCTTTTTTTTTAATTTTTTTTTCAAGACAGGGTTTCTCTGTGGCTTTGGAGGCTGTCCTGGAACTAGCTCTTGTAGACCAGGCTGGTCTCGAACTCATAGGGATCCACCTGCCTCTGCCTCCTGAATGCTGGGACTAAAGGCTTGCACAACCACCATGCTGCTCAGCATCAACTTCTTAATGTAGGCTTTGCCTTTGCAACTTGCTAGGGGGAGAATTCTCAGTGTGAAATGTAAAGTTAACATGGTCCCTAGTAACAGTAAACCTCAATGTGCTAACATTTCATGACTGAAGTTAAAATTTAAAACATAAAAACACTGCCTTAAAATAGAAAACCAAAAATCCAAAGGAATTTACAAATTAATCTCAATTTTATATTCTTTGTGTTTACCCAGCTCTAAGTACTACTAGAAACAACTTCAGCACTCTAGTATAAACAACACAAGCCTTTAAGAATGTGTGTTAGCCTTGAACTTCCTCTTAGGGGACCAAGAATTGGTGCTTCCTTATATAATAGCCAGACTGCCTTTAGTTATAAACTGGTGGTGGTATATGCCTTTGATCCCAGCACTCAGAAGGGCAAAGTCAGGCAGATCTCTGTGAGTTCAAGACCAGCCTGATCTACAGAGCTAATTCCAGAACAGCCAGGGCTACACAAAGGAATCCTGTCTTGAAGCACACACACACCAACACCAACTGAAAAGCAGGGAAATCTGAAATTGTCCTCCCTATACCATTGTTCTGAAATTAGCTGTCATGTTCAGAAACATAAACTCTAACCTAGAACCATTCCCCACTTTAAAAGCAAGCACACTTACTGTAGTTGAGGCACAATTCAAGAACACACTAAAATAGGATTCATTGGTCTCATGGATGCCACAGGCAAGGCATCTGAAGTTGGTTTTCCTGGAGGGGGCTGGTTGGAGTCAGCACCATCAGGGCACAGATGTGAAGGGGAGTCAGGTGAACTGCTGCTATTCAAGCTCAGCCCACTGCCCTCCCCACCTGGCAACTGCAAACTGACTTTGCTGATCTTGAATTTTTCAACTTTGTTTAGTTTCATACTTGATTCCAATGACAGTCTGGTCTTTATTTTCTTGGGTAAGTTCATCTGGTAAGAAGCTTGGATCCACAGATAAAAAGCCACTGAATGTTTCTTTGGCACTCCTAAAATGTGAATTAAATGCAGTCTCTGTTTTGGATGGATTAGGTGGGTGTACATGTAAAGGCCCCCCAGAGTTACAGTTGAGACACAGCTGGAGCATGGTCATCGTAGGCAGTTTGCAAAACAAAAACAACAACAAAAAAAACTATGGCAGGAAGGCAAAGGGCTCTGCCTCAAAGGTGGTTCAAGATTCCTTAAATTCACACCATGCCTCCTACAAAGTACCACCAAGATTCTACTACAGAGTTACAACATGCTTCAAAGTAGATCTTAGAGTATATCTCCCCATCCCTACCCCCATCAGAGAGGGTAAGGTCTCCCATGGGGGATCATCAAAGTCTGTCACATCATTTGGGGCAGGCCCCCCCCCCCCCCCCCCCCCGTATCTAGGCTGAGAGAGTATCCCTCCATAGAGAATGCACTCCAAAAGTCCACTTGTGCACCAGGGATAAATACTGGTTCCACTGCCAGAGGCCCCATAGACTTCCCAGGCTTCCTAATTGACACCCACATTCAGGAGGCCTAGTTCAGTCCTATGCTGGTTCCCTAGCTATAAGTCTGGGGTCTGTGAGTGAAGAGAGATCAGTCTGCAGTCCATAAGGCTAAGGTTTCTTTATTCAGATAACACCAGACAAGCGCAAGCCAAAGCGGGCCAGGGGCAGCAAGGCAGCCAGGCCAGAGAGAAGGGAGAAGGGAAAAGAGGGTCTCCACGTATGCCCGGTCCCTTAAGAACCATTCCTGAGTCACCTTAGACTTTCCCTCACTACGCCCTCATGGGCGCGTCCCGGCACACCTGTCCGGGCTACTAGGAGGCGGGGCTACAGTGTCTCCCTACAAGTGAGCTCCAACTTGCTTAGGTCAGCTGTTTCTGTGGGTTTCCCCAGCATGGTCTTGACCCTTTTGCTCATCACTCCTCCCTCTCTACAATTGGATTCCAGGAGTTCAGCAGCCAGTGTTCTTAACCATTGAGCCATTTCTCCAGCCCAGCAATAGAGTTTTACCAACTGACTCTGGTGGGCAAGAGGAATGGCAAGAGGCTGTATTGTTTGGGGAACCTCTTTGGCCTCCCTGATCAACAACTACTTATCTCACCGATGGCACTGGTGGGATTTTGTTTAGTGACCCATTGCTTCAAAGACTGGCTCTTGGAGGTGCAGGCAGGTACCACCACATCTAGCTATCCCATGGCCTCTGCAACAGCTCCTGCCTTCAGGTTCCTGCCCTGACTCCCTTAGATGATGGACCACAAACTGTAAGATGAAATAAACCTCAAGCTGATTTTGGTCATGGAGTTTTATCACAGTGCTAGAAACCCTAAGACAGATTGTCTAGTGAGTCCCCAAGTAGAGATGCTAAGGGGCAGCGTGGTATTTGGGAGGGGAGTCTAGCCTGCAGCTATCAGGAAGTCACCTGTATCCAAATGAATTTCAGTACAGTACAGTACTGATGTACAGTAACTGGACAAAATCACCCCACATGCCTGTGTCAGCAGTAAGTTGTAGAAATGGACAGATGTGGTGGCAGAGGCCAGCACTCCAGATACTGAGGGCAGAAGACAGCTTATTCCAAGCTAGACCGTGAAATGAGAAACAGCAAAGGAGATGAAGAATCATCAGCTAGAAAACAGACAACAAAGTCTAAAGCCATTTCAAAGAGCAAGTGTCAAAGGCTTCAGGCAGAATTACACACGGACCAGAATCTGTGCTCAAGTCATTAATGACCCTGGGAAGAACAAATCTGCTGGGGTAATTTTATTTTGGGGGTTTTTGTTTTTGTTTTGTTTGAGACAAAGTTTCTCTGTATAGTCCTGGCTATCCTGAAACTCACTCTACAGAGCAGGCTGGCTTTGAACTCAGAGATCCACCTACCTCTGCCTCCCAAGAGCATGTTTTTTTGTTTTTTGAGATAGGGTCTCATATAGCCTTGGACTCATCATATGCCTAGATGACTTTGAAATACTCATCTTCCTGCCTCTAACTGCAGAGTACTGGGGTTCCAGTTGTGCATCACCACTGTAGGGCTTTGTACTAAGCAAGCATTTTACACCCTAAGCTCCGTTCTCAGATGCAGAAGAGATTTTAATAGAGGATTCAGAAAGAAACTGGAGACTCTTTTAAGTTGAGCTGTGAAGTACAGTTGTCCTGTCAACTCACTCGCACTCAGTGACACCTGCTGGATGGCTGTTTAGCAATAAGGACATAGCTCAGAACTGCCTAAGTCAAGCAACTGTATAATGGTACTCCATAGAGTTCTTTAAAAACAAAAAGTAAAATCAAACCATATTTTTTCTGCCAGGAGGCAAGACCTACTTTACATCCATGGGTAGGAATATGGGCTGTGTTTGGAGCAGTTTTTCAACTATGATACCAATGATATTTTTGCATAGAGCTTTGTTTGTAGAGCTTTGCTATACTCAAGTCCTCTGCCAGTGCTCTTAACCAATGAGCCATCTCTCCAGCCCTTCCTTGGCTTCTCTTTAGTAGCATCTTCATTTTGTCTTCCTAGGACAAAATCAGACCTGTTTGAGAACCTCTGGTTTGTGGTGGCAGGACAGAAATGCTAGAAGGTATTCAGCATGATGGTGGGAGCTTGGTAAATGTGTTCTCCTTGCTTCTACTTTAAAGAACCAAGGTGTGGTTAGAGTGAGAATGACCCCCACAAGATCACATACTTGAATGCTTGATCCCCCGTTGGTGGGACTGTTTGGGGAAGATTGGGAGATGTGTCACTAGGGGTGGGCTCTGAAGTTACAAAAGTCCACACTATTCCCAGTTAGCTCTCTCTCTGCCTCTAAGTTGTAGATCAGGATGTAAGCTCTTAGCTAGTGGTGACTGCCGTGACAGCCACGGACTTTATTACCTTTGGGAACAGAGAACACCAATTAAATGCTTTCTTTTGGTCACAGTGTACTGTCTCTTGACAGCAATAGCGTAACTTAACTTAGCAAAATAGTTCAAAATGTTGAAATATATACAATATATAAAAAATAGTTGAGAGGCAACTAAGAGACAAAGGTGACGTGTACAGGGAGAGATATGTTGGGGATCTGAGGATCAGGAGATCCGGAAGTTATCAAGGACAGCGAGTGGGAGGGTTAAGAAGATAATGAGGGAGATGCAGGAAGGACTGACTGCCTTCAGTTGCATTGTTATCAGGGGGCTGCAGCAGCCAGCACGGCTCTCTCACTTGCACTTTTGGCTGCACAGACGTAGGTATAAAGCAGGTGATGTGTGTAGAAGTAGAATGGCGGCTAGGGATGCAGCTCCATCCAGAGGTTCAGTCCCTAATACTGTATAAATTGGGTGTGGTAAGGTACACCTGTAACCCAACGCTTGGGAGGCAGACATAGATGAGGTCATCCTATGCTAGTTTGTTCAAGGCCAGCCTGAGCTTGATGAGATCCTGTTTTTTTTTTTTTGTTGTTGTTGTTTGTTTGTTTTGTTTTTAAAATAAAAATGGCAAAGGCAGACAAAGCATCTGCAGCAAGGTGTTTATTATTGGAATTTAACTGAGGATAGCAAACAATGTAGAAAGGAAGTAAGATCAAAGGGTTTCAGGTCCTGGAAAAGGGATGGATTCCACATAATAACCTGAAGAGCCAGATTGTGGCAGAAGAACGGGATGAGACTGAGTTATGGAACAGTGCGTTGCAAGAGGTGGGGCGTGGCGGTGCACACCTTTCTCCCAGCACTCAGAAGGCAGGGGCAGGTGGATCTCCGTGAGATTGGGGCCAGTCTAGTCTACACATCAAACTCCAAACCAGGCAGGGCTACATAGAGAGGCCCTGTCTCAAAGAGACAGAGGAGGGAAAGAAAGAAGAGATGCTGCACCACCTCCATGCCCAGCGGTACATGGATGTGAAAGACTCACCACCAGGCGTTAAGAGAAGCAGTCTTTCCGAAAAACTAGGTCTCAGCGCAACGCTGTGAAGACAACATTTGAAAAAGAGGGTGAGGATATATGGATTTTACAAATGGCTGATAAGTTTCAGGAGTTTGGAAGTGGGACAAAAAAAAAAAAAAAAAAAAAAAAAAGAGGGCAAAGCACCTGGCTGCCAGAGGCTAAAGAGGAGCTTGGTAGTTCAGGACCTCTTGTGGCACTATATATGGCATGATATCTACAGTTCTGATGCTTGTATTGGTGCTGAGGTGTTGTACATCTCGGGTGCCTCCCAGATACTGGCCAGTGAAGTGTTTGAAGGAGTACATTAAATGAAGTTTAGGAAGGACAGGAGTTTTAGTAAAGTTATGAATTGGATCTATTTCCAGGTCTTTTTAAGGGATATCCTGAATACCCCTTCAATGAATGTGAACACAGTTTGTTAAGTGTAGAGGCCTCGGCACAGGACATGACACTAAAACACTATTAGTTAGGAGACTATTGTTAAAGGGATAGAAGGACAGCACCCACGACTTTCTCCAAGTGGCAATCGTCAAAACTATCTGCACCATCAACCAAGTGCTACTCTGACCCTCACCAGCTTGTCCACTGACCTCACCAGTAAGAATTTACCCAGCACTCACTCTGTTATTGGTCCTAAAAAACACAATCCAGTTGTCAACGTACAAAAACAATCTCTTTATTTCAGAGTCATCTTGGGGTTCCACAGGAACCCTAAGCCTTGTGTGGGGTCCATACACTAGCCAGAGAGGAGAAGAGTCCATAGTATCACCAAGATTCACTCCCACATCAGCACTCCACTTGGCAAGCTATTCTGGTCCTGTTAGTGTTGTTAGTCCCTCCACGTCACTTCTACTTCATCTGTCCTGTACCTGTGGAAAGCAGGAAAAACCCTGTGACTACCTGTTTGCGCCATTTTTTGTTGTTTTGTTTTTGAGACAGCATCTGTAGCCCAGGCTTATCTCAAAATAAAAATCCTCCTGCCCTGGCCCCCACATATTGGGATTACAGGTACATGCCACCAAACCCATCACCTACAGCTTTATCTGTTCTTTGACTTTTCTACCTGTTAATTTCTACCTGTCTCCTGTACCTACTATCTACTTTCTCAAAGGAGGATGTCACTCACCTCTGTGTAATTCCAGACTCTCTGAGAGGGGTCCTATGTCCAGCTTGAAACATCTCCCAACCTGCTTGGGCTATCATGGCTCCATTGTCAATGCAGAATCTGGGGAAGAAGCAGTAACAAGACTTGTGGCCTAAACATAGAAAAACCGTAATGATGGGAACAGAAGAACTCAAGACAAAGAGAAGGACTTCACCTCTCATCTGTGGCAAAGAGCTGGGCTCCCCGCTCCTGGCACATTGCTGCCATCATCTCCTGCAGTCTCACGTTACCTATGAAGACACAGGAACCACAGATAACTTAGATTTGGCCATTTTGCTATCAAACCAGTTGTGCTCCCAGGACAGTTTACCAGAAGACTAGGGAAGAGGGTTGTGAAACAGTTAAAGAGATGAAACAGGTAACCCTCCAAACTCTGGTAATGTAGCGTTTCAGGAAAATGACTCTCAGGACTAGGAGGAAGGCACACTGCCCAGTGACACATACATCCAACTCCTCCTACGATGAGGGCTTCCTTGGAGCCACAGTGTGCCATGGCTCGCTCTGTGATCTCCACTAGCATTGCAAACACAGTTTCCTGTGGAAGACAGACAAGGGGGAGACATCAGAGCAGCATCCCACCTTAGTTCAGCTCTACTCTAGACTAAGTTTTGCATCCCAGCTTTTCACTCTTTTACCTGTAAGGAGAAACACAGGTCTTCAGGAGTACATTCCCCTGTGGCCAGCATTTTCTGCGCTACATCCTGCAATTAAAGGGGGGGAGACAACCCAAAGGATGAATACCGACATGAGGCTTTCATGAAAACAAAAATTCCTGCACTTGAAAGGATAGCTGACTTCATTACAACTGACATTATAGGAGTGCTGCACCCCACATCATCTTCTTTTGTTAATTTTTATTTTCAAGCCTTTTTCCCATGTAGGGAGGAACTGTTTTCCCTATAATATGTAGTGCCCGGTACACAGAAGGTATACAGTACCTGCTACATAATCTATCTAGCACCTATTATGAGTGAATGCTTAGGTAAGAAATAAACAGTGAGCAAAGTGGACACATCACTTTTAAAAGCAGGGGTGTGCTCCTGTCTGGTTACCACTCTCACACTCACCTCGATGAAAGACAGAATCCCTGAGAATGAGACATCCATCCCCTTTACAGTGTATGGCAGCTCAACTAGCTTCTTGCCTCTATGTAGAAATGAATAAAGGCACTAAACCTAGAGTCAGCTGGCTGCTCGCCCTCCAAAGCCCCTCCCAAACCGCATTAATATATATGAAAAGAAAGCTCTAAAGCACGAGCGGCCAGTGCTCTTCAACTGTATGTCCTCTTACCGCTTTGCCATCTGCTCAATGTTGTAGCCTGGACTTGGGTCATTGGAAATCTACCAGAAGGAGAGAGAAGCAGAGAACCAGGAATGCATCATGTAACATGCATTCTTCTACACACGTGAATATACTCATCACTCTGGGGTTCCTCCCCAAATAAAGGTGAGGAAAAGCAACCAGTATATATTTTTATAAATTGTACACTTACAGAGGAACAAACATTTTCTTGTAACAAGTAATAGATACATATAGACACAAATGCTTAATTTCCTACCCGTTAAATAAAGTGGCAGAGAAGGAAGTTAGATTTGCAAGAAGCCCAAGATCTAAAAATACCAGTTCCTGCCTTTTATTTCTTTTTGTTCCCCAGACTGACATCAATGGCTTACCTTCAGCACTCGAGCAAAACGATCCAGACAATTTCCCACAGCAATATCAATAGTTTCCCCAAAGATGCGGTAACGATGTTCTGAGTAGGAAATCACCTAAGAATGATGAGAATGCCCTTGAAACTTCATGTCTATAAAGAGTGTTTAGCTGTGGAAAGAAAGTAGCACAGTGCCAACACCAGACATTCCAGTAAGAAAGGGAAGTTGTCTACAGTGGCTGTGCAGTGAAGTTTAACGCCAGCCTAGACATATAGCAAGGCCCCGTCTCAAGAAAACCAAACAGATGCTGGCAAAATGGCCCAGTAAGCCAAAACACTTGCCTTGTGAGCTTAGAGACCGGAGTTTGATCCCTAGAACCCACGTAAAGGTAGACTACTGAAGGGTTGTTCCCACCCACACCTACTCGCCCACATCTCACACATATCATACACACACAAAATAAACCCAAGTATGATCAAGATATTATATATAAGTATGAGGTTGCCAAACAATAATAATAATAAATTTCAAAGAACTAACAAACCAGTGCTTACTTTGCAGCACATACTAAAATTGTAATGATGCAGAGAAGATTAACAGGGCCCCGTACAAAGATTATACAAACTCATCAAACATCCCATAGAATGTAGCCTAACAAACAAACAGAAACCACGCATAGATAGACATAGATAGATAGACAGACAGACAGACAGACAGACAGAAACAGACACAGACACACACACACCAAAAACAAACCCTAAAAATAAGAATTCAAAACAAAGCCAAACAGAGCTTGTTGTGGTGACCCACACAAGACATTCTTCAAGAAACAGAAAAAAAGTAGGCCAGGCATGGCGGTGCAAACCTGTAATCTCAGCACTTGGGAAGAGTTAGGAAGATCAAAATAATACAGGGAAAACCTTCTACCACAGTGAGACCTTGTCACGAACAGCATAAAACAACAAAAATGGAAGGCTGGTGATCCCAGCTACTTGGGCAGAGGAGGGAGGACGAGTCTGGGGCTGGGTTATCTGGAGAGTCTAGTTTTCAGAAAAGGAATGGAATGGGGTGGTTAAATGAAGAAAAATATATTTGTGGAGTTAAAGAGATGGCCCAACAGGTAAATCTCTGACTGCTCTTCCAAAGCACCTGGGTTCAATTCCCAGCACCCACATGGTGGCTCACAATTGTCTATTAACTCCAGTTCCCCACATCTGAAGCCCTCTTCTGATCTTCCTTGGGCTCCTGCACACATGCAGGTAAAACACGCACGCAATTAAAAAAAAAAAAAAAAAGACATTATCTTGAACGGCTAAATCCACATTCCTTCCTTTTTAAACTGGAAACTCTAGTTGCACGTGCAAAGTTTTAATATTTTAATTCTCCTCCAAAACTTGCAACTCTATACTTGTTGTGTTGTCTACAGTATCTTAGGTCCAGAGCCTGGCTTTGTCTTTGCAGCTCCTATGACTGAGGTGGAATACCTCAGAAGTACCATGAAACATAAAGGTTACTCTTAAATACCTGAGTATTTCCTCCGCTGACATACAAAACAGTTGGGCTAATGGCTCCAGTGATGAGGCGGCCCATTTCAATGTGGCCTATGCAGTGGTTCACACCTACCAAAGGCTTATTCCACAACTGGGCCACAGTACGGGCAACGACAGCTACAGAAGCCAATGGGGCTCCCATACCAGGACCTAACAGGGTACAAATGGGAATTAGAGTGCTAGACATTAGGAAAACCAGGTGAAGAAAGAAGATCTGAGAATGTGGATAGCGGTAGCTCTGTCCATATTCCTCCCTTGCTGACCACTCTCCCAGACTTACCTTTGGTGTAAGCAATGCAATCAATGTCCTGGGAGGTTAACCCAGCTTCTGTCAGTGCCTCTTGCAGTAGGTCTAGAATAACAGCTCGATGGTGCCGGGCTGTGTCACCTGGAAGGAACCCTAAGGAAAGGCATACAGATCAAGAACCGGAAGAAGGTAGGTATTAGGTTAGTGCAAAGGGAACTGTGATATGGGGCTATAAATTTTAAACCATTATAACTAAGTTCAAACATATTTTTATTAATCAAAACAGGAAGTTTTTTTTTTTCCCCCTGAGACATTTCTCTGTGTAGTTTTGGAGCCTATCCTGACACTCACTCTGTAGACCACCAAGCTGGCCTCAAAGTCACAGAGATCCGCTTGCCTCGGAGTGCTGGGATTAAAGGCATGCACCACCGCTACCTGGCCTCCAAACAGGAATTATTTTAATCAACATGTTTTGTCAAAAAAAAAAATCCAAAACAAACAAACAAACAAACAAAAAAACAGTCTGTTAGCCGGTCGGTAGTGGCTCATACCTTTAATCCCAGCACTTGGGAAGCAGAGGCAGGCGGATCTCTGTGAATTCAGGACCAGCTTGGTCTACAAGAGCTAGTTCCAGGACAGTCTCAAAAGCCACAGAAAAACCCTGTCTCTGAAAAACCAAATAAAAATAATAAAAAAAGAAACAAAAAACCCAAAACAAATCCCCACAAATAACAAAATAAACAAACAAAAAACAAGACCAAAAAAAAATTAGTTTGTTTATTCCCAAAAGCAAACCCATGTTTCAACATACTCTCAGAAAGCACCTTGTGCATCCTGCTGGCTGTGGAAATGTTTCCAAAAGGTTTTCAAGATGCTGAAGAAGCTGGGGTCAGTTCAATTCATTCAGGTTTTGAAGCACATAGTCAGGCCTTGTTCTGAACCGGGCCCTTTCTGTTCACCAACGATGACTGCAGGGGCTGCACCTCGATGATGTGCTGAACAAACTTCTCAAATGTGATTCTTTCATCGGGACTTAGAAAGCTACAGTGGATCAGGGCCCCAGCACACCACCAGTGACCGGGACCTCTTTTGGTTAAAGTTTGGCTTTGGGAAGTGCTTTGAGGCCACTAAGCTGGTTGTGGCCAGTTTCCCATACAAACCACTTTTTGTTATTGTCACAATCTGTTTGAGAAATGGTTTGTGAATGAGAGCTGAAGACAATGGCTGTTTTGATTTTTAGTCTGTTTATGAGGCATCAACTTATTGAGTTTTGTATTTAAAACTTTCCAGCTGACTTCAAACAGCCAACACTCACTGCCTGCTACACAATGAGTTCTTGGGCAAGTTTTTCTGTAGCTGTAAGATCGGCTTCCACAGCTGCTCACAATAAATAGGTCATGGTGAAGTTCTAATAGCAAGGTATTTCAGAGCTCTGGTCTCTGCAAGCTCTTCAACAACCAAGGTCCTGTTCCTTAGCAGTTCCAGGGTCAAAATGTTATGTATTGTTGTTTTATGCTGTCTCCACTGTTCCTACTGCCTTCCCACCCCCAGCATTTAGAACTCAAAGTAATTGAGTTCATTACTCAATTGAGTATTTGAGTAATTGAGAATTGTTCAATTCTCTTTTCATTACTTACTTTGAGACAGGATTTTACAATGTAGCCCTGGCAGTCCTGAAGCTTGCTATATAGACCAGGCTGGCCCCAAATTCAGAGATCTGCCTGCTTCTGCCTCCTGGAGTACTGGGATTACAGGTTTGATAGCCCATCTGGCTTTACTTTTACTTTTTGTCTAACATTTCCACAGATAAATATAAATATAATAAATATAAATAAACAGCAAGTAATGTCATTATAAGAAAAAACTGTCACCCCAAACCAAAACAAAATGTGATAAATGCACATTAAAATGGCCTATTAGAAGTAAAAAAAAAAAAAATCAACAAAAAGATGTTTTAACGATTTAGAAAAAAAATCCCTTACTGGCCTAGGTTTTAAGACATCGTCTTTGCAAGCCCCTAATTTTGAGACAAGGTCACACATAGCACAGGGTGTCCTTAAACTCCCAAGTGCCATGATTACATACTGTACCACAACTCAGCTTTCTTTCCAACATCTCTATACAGGCTACTTAGGTTTTAGAGATGTGCATGTTCACATACAGTCGTCAGAATCAATTCAACTTATGCATGCCTCCTACTCTTTAGTGACTTTGTCTGTGATCCCAAGGAACCCTGCACAAGGTCATCTTTTTGGATTTAATACATAGTAACTACAGCAGTACAACTGTCAGCAGCTTCCCCTTTAAAGTAACTCAGTCCCAGTGCCTAAAAGAGGGAGTCCCAAAGACACATATATTTCTACTATGTAACCTGAAACATCACACACAGGTCCATGCAGCTTATATGTGTGTGCTGGTGCTTTGGGAGATGATAGGCAAGATACAATTTGTAAATAATCGCTATTGAGAATTGTGCAGTGTCTGGTGCTTTCGCATAGTTCCCAAAACCCACTGATACCCATTTCCATTCTAAATGTAATGAAAAAGACACCTGAAACATTGAAAAAAAAAAAAAGAGTAACTTCTGATACCCGTTCTGCTGTCCTTTCTCATTCTAAACAATTATAGTGTAATCTCTTTGTGCGACTATAGAGCAGTCTCAGAACACTTTATTTTCGAATGTTCAGCACATAAAAGGTGCTCAATAAAACCTGAATACAGCCGGGCATAGTGGCTCACACCTTTAATGCTGGCACTTAGGAAGCATAGGCAGACGGATCTCTATGAGTCCGAGACCAGCCTGTCCTACAAGGCAAGTTCCGGGATAGTCAGAGTTACAAGGTGAGACCCTGTCTCAAAAACAAAACAAAACAAAAGTGCCCGAACGAACCCACTACGTCCATGTGCATTGGGATACTTATGTCCATACGTCTGTGACACTTTTAGCCGTCAGCCAAACGCGAATCAAGTTTTTGTATAAGGGAATCTGGGCGCAAGCCTGTGACAGCAACACTCGGGAAGCTGAAGCAGGCAACAGGCTAGAATATCGGGAAACGGCTCCCCGTTGCAAAAAACCCTGTAAACGGGACAAGGCGCCGCAACCCCGGCCGCAGCCACTCACCTGTGCCCGGGGCCGTGACGTAAGTGCGCCGCGGGTTCGCCAGCACCTTGCCGTCGCGCACCACGCCCACGCCGATCTTGTTGGCGCTGCCTTCGAACCCCAGCACCGCGGGCATGGTGCACCCCGGCTCGGGATCTGCGGATGGCAGGACTAGTCGTAACCGGCAGTACCACGAACAGCCCAGAACCAAGCGATGGGACCTTCAGGCGCCCTAAGTGACGTCATGAGGTGCCAGGTGGACCAATCACAGCACTCCTGATCCACGTGGGGGGAGGGGCGACCTCGGATCACGTGACCACACCAAGCTCCCACGTGGGGACAGGCTCCATTCTTTGTGCTGTGAGCGGCTTCCTCCCTATGTTGGTAGGTCCGGTAGCTTGTGCTAGCTGGTTCGGCGGCCCTGCTCGCAGAAGGGCCTAACGGGGGCGAGGAGCTGCGGGGCTGGGATGCACGTGGCGAGGAAGGCTGGGTGAACCGATTGCACCCCCCTCCCCCGGTGTGCGAGCGCCTGATTTCGCCGTTTCTTATCTGTAGGCAACGCTGTAAACACTGCTTCGGTGCTCCAGGCGCCTAAGGGCTTTCGTCACAGGGATGCCAAAGCGTGGGAAGAGAGCGGCGGCAGAAGACGGGAAAGAACCCAAGTCTGGTAAGCAGGTGAAAGTAGCGCGTGGGTTACCCCACCTCCAAATTTAGGACTCTACTAGACCACCATGAGCTACGCTAAATATGGACCACGTTACATTGCGGGAGTCCGAGAAGTTAGGGTAACTAGAGCGCCTCGTGGGGTTGGAAACCGCTAGCTCTTACTTTACTCATTTTATAGAGCCAGAGACCAAGAAGAGTAAAGGAGCAGCAAAGAAAAACGAGAAAGAGGCTGCAGGAGAGGGCCCTTTCCTGTATGAGGACGCTCCAGATAATAAAACGTCACCCGGTGGCAAACTTGCCACACTCAAGATATGCTCCTGGAACGTGGATGGGCTTCGAGCCTGGATTAAGAAGAAAGGTTTAGATGTGAGTACAATTCAGGAGGGAAGTAGATTTTCCTTGACAGCCTAAAGAATTATCTTGGAGTTGGGGCTGTAGTGGCGCACGCCTTGAATCCCAGCAGAGGCAGGCGGATCTCTGTGAGTTCCTGGGCCAGCCTGGTCTACAGTGCAAGTTCCAGGACAGCCAGGACTATACAGAAACCCTGTCTCGATAAAACAAAAACGTGTTTACTGTGAGCCCAGAGGATGTTATTTTTTTTCTTGCCTGTAGTTGGGGCTGGGAGCAAGAAATGTCCCTTCGATCCCAATCACCTTGTCTCATATTCTTTTTAACTATTCGCTGGAATTTTGTTTTTTTTTAAATCCCAATAACTACTAAAGATCTCAGTGGGGGAGGGGCTGGAGCACTTCGCTCTGCTTCGGAATTAGGTTTCTAGTACCCAAGTCAAATGGCTCAGTCCATTCACATACCCTAAAAGTCCCTTTGTCATTCACATGGTTTACATATACCCTGCTGCTTGAATTCCTTATGTACTGGGATCCAGTGTGTATACTATGTAGCACATAAGATTTTTCTTAACTTTTCACGTTTCATTAGTGGGTAAAGGAAGAAGCACCAGATATCTTGTGCCTCCAAGAAACCAAATGCTCAGAGAACAAACTCCCTGCAGAACTTCAAGACCTGCCTGGACTCACCCATCAGTACTGGTCTGCTCCATCAGACAAAGAAGGATATAGTGGCGTGGGCTTACTTTCCCGCCAGTGCCCTCTCAAAGTCTCTTATGGCATTGGTGAGACTATTGATTTTTATGTCTGAGTGTTCTTCAGCAAGTTAACTCTGCTGCTTAGATTTTTTTTTTTTTTAAATTTTATGCTGGATTTCATTTCTGTAGGTGAGGAAGAGCATGATCAAGAAGGCCGGGTGATTGTGGCAGAATTTGACTCCTTTGTCCTGGTAACAGCCTACGTTCCCAATGCAGGCAGGGGTCTGGTAAGGCTGGAGTACCGACAGCGTTGGGATAAAGCCTTTTGCAAGTTTCTGAAGGACTTAGCTTCCCGAAAGCCTCTTGTGCTATGTGGGGATCTCAATGTGGCTCATGAAGAAATTGACCTTCGTAACCCCAAAGGAAACAAGAAGAATGCTGGCTTTACTCCCCAGGAGCGCCAGGGCTTTGGGGAGTTGCTACAGGCTGTACCACTTACTGACAGCTTCCGGCACCTCTACCCCAACACCCCCTATGCCTATACCTTTTGGACTTACATGATGAATGCTCGGGCTAAGAATGTCGGATGGCGCCTTGATTACTTTTTGTTGTCACACTCCCTTTTGTCTTCCTTGTGTGACAGCAAGATCCGCTCCAAAGCTCTTGGCAGTGATCACTGTCCCATCACCCTTTACCTAGCACTGTGACACCCCTGCTGAAGTAACTTACACCTGGGAAATAGCCTCCTCTCAAGTCCAGTGTCCTTTAGGCCCCGGGGTTTTGATTTTTTGTGTACCCCCTGTTTTAAATGTTAAACCAAGCTTCTGGCTTCCAAGTAAAAATAAAAATGCCCTACTTTCAGCTTTGTTATCTTTGTTTTCCCCTTGTGAATCTACACGTTCCCTTTTTTATTTTTTCATACACAACAGTTGTTAAATGGGAAAGGTTAGAGTCATGACATTATTTATTTACAAGCACAGATGAATTCCTAACCTCTCCCGAGACAGCGACCCTACCTTAACCCAGTTCAGTGCTGCAACTGGAAGTAAGGAAACTCGGAAGGAGGAATTCAGGGGAATACAGGATTAGGGGACCATATCCCATATTAAATAGTTCTATATACATCAGTTCTGTAGTTCTGTACAGAGCAGTGGCTGACCCCACCCCACAGGACAAGAAATGTGGGAGAAAGGGACTCAGGGTATTGAGGCCAGAGCCAGCCCCTGGTGAAGTGCAATAGCAGCAGCAAGGAAGGTCCTAATGGTGCACATGAGGGAGGGGACACCCCCCCACACACACTTCCCACCCCCACCCTGCCCTGGAATGTGTAAGGGTCAGGAATGGTTCTCAGGGAGCACACATAGGAAGGACATGGCTAGAACCATCTTTAGGATCCAGGCCTAGGGGCAATGTTTTGCCTATGTATCCTAAACAGCAACCCTTGGAAGAAAGCAGACAGCTAGCAATGGTCTTACCTACGCTTCCAAACCTAAGTAAGGGACTGGTTCCTTCCTACCTCTCCCCAGGGGAAAGGGAGGCAGCTGCTTGGCTTCCTTGCAGAAGTCCAGAGAGCCTTTTGTAGTGTTACTGTTGCTACCAGGCAGCCACCAGGCACAGACTGGATCAAGGGGCTCAGGAGAAGTTCTGGACAGGATGGCTGACCTTCATACAGCCCCAATAAAGGGCCCGGCCCAAACATAGAACAGCCAACAAAATGACAAATGCCCAGGCTGCGTAGATACCTCCATATTGCTGTGCATGCTTCCATGTGCCAAACTGACAGACGAGGAAGAAGAAAAAAAAGAGGTTACTCTTGGTGTCCACTGCTTCAAAGTCTTAGAAAGAGTAATAAAATGCCAACTTGTCTCTGTTCCCTAGTCACTTGTAACCACCTTCAGGGACCTTTCCAAAGGTCAGGTGGTTTAGCTTCCTTCTCTTAAGCAGGAAAATACTCCTGCCATCCCAGACATCCGCCACTATTTCTCACATCTAAGGAGTGAACTAGGATTCCTAATAACAACTCAGTTTTCTCTCCAGAGTGGGATTTCCTTCTTTGACTTCTTAGTTTATTAGTCACCTTTAACTTCATTTTATGAGTACCTGAAAATGCTCCCCAACCTTATCACCAAGCTGTAGTTGACAATGACCTTGAAATTTGATCCTCCGGGGTGCTGGGACATACGATTGCATCACCATGCTTTGTTTGCATGGTGCTGAGGTCAAACGCAGGGCTTTGTGCATGCTAGGTCAACACTTTGGCACATCTGGAAAGGGTGACAATCTACTCCCCACCTTTGTATTATAGATGGGCCTGGCTATATAGCCAGGGTTACCTTAGAACTGCCTCTATTCTTGGTTTCAAGAACATACCCCAACACCCAGCTCTTTCACCATTCTTTAAGCTATCAACTTCTTAGATCTTAGCCTGTTGATGAGGCAGATAAAAGGTCTGCATCAAGACTACTCACAGCAAGGCCAGTGGCAGTGACTGCCAAGAGTAAACCAAGCAAGAAGCAGCAGATACATCTCTTCCGAGGATATCTGCGCCCAATAGATGACCTGTGGGAGCCAACAGAATGGATATTTGGAATAGCCCTGTTGATTTTATGCCATATATTATCCAGCTAGCAGTGCAATGCCTAACCACTTACACTTTCCTGCAGTGAGGGCACCGTGCCAAGGTTCGGTCTGTGAATTCTGTCCACTATGAAAAAAGAGAAACAACCATAGAAAGAAAGTTCTCCTCAATGAGAACCCTGAGGCAAGGGGGAGTATGACAAATGAGAATTAGGACAGTCTTTTCCATAATTTATTACTATTCCCAGTACTTACCTCCCCCTCCCCCAAGGGCCTCCCAATATCTCTCCTCACCAGAAACGTATTCTTGCAATGTCCACAGATGACCCTGACACCCATTGGCTGTGGCTCTGGACTTAGAGGTCCTGGATGCACAGGCCCTAGGTTGATGATTCTTTTGCTATATGGGGGGGAAAGTTCTTAATTTTAACAGGATCTGCTGACACAGAGTATCCCAGCACTTGGGAGGTATAGGCAGGACTACTTAGGAATTCAAGGTGTGCCAGAGATCTTCCAGTCTCCACCTCCCAGGTGCTGGGATTGATTATAAGCATGCACCACCTTGCCCAGGTTCAGGTTTGGTTTTGTTTCTTTACAGTTTTGCCCAAGCACAGCCTTCCCACCTTATGTCTCTTACCAGTACGGCCGTGGGCAAGCAATCCGCTGGGAAGTCACCTTGCAGATAAGGAGACAATTACAGGGGCATCGGACATACTTCTTTCCTGGGGGTGCATTCTTGATGGGCTAGGGAACAACGAATAAAAGAACAATGGGTATATCAGCAGGCAAGCCGGTCATCCCAATCCTCTCCAAGAACATTACTGAGAAAGAAAAGTCAGACATTTGAGAGATACAAATGTTGCCAACATAGCAGGCTACATCTGTGATCTCATCACTCAGGAGGCTGAGGCAGGAAGACTGCAGAGCCTGAGGTGAGCCCAGATCGCTTGTGAGACTGTCTCAAAAGAACAAACACGAGAGCCCCAAAATACAACAATCAAAAGCAACTACAACAATTGCCAGTGAAAACTACACTTCAGGATCCAGGAAAAGTGTGAAAGTGAGAGCTGGTGACCATTATCTCTGGTGAAAGGCTTCTGAAGCAATGGCTGGTGAAGATCCAGGAACTGAAAGTGGGTTTCATGAAGAGGTCTTGAACAGGGTCTAGAATCGGAAAGAGGATGCAGGAAACAAGGCCCGTTTTTTTTGCAGATAGGTATAACTCACAGTGGCTTCGTTGCAGACACCACATTTGACCACATGCTGATGCATCTTGCCTTCCACGTTGATCGGAGACTGACAGACTCGACAGGTAATCATGGGGGCACTCCCACTATCCGGGCTAGTCAGGGGTGAGTAGGGGGGTGGGTCCTCTCCAGGCAACACCGCTGGATGCCCCTCAGGGAACGGGGGAAATGCTGAAGAGGAAGCAGATAAAACCAGATCATCATTCGGACACTTGCCACGGATGCTCCACGGAAGCGGAGAACCCTCCTGACAAAGCTCGACGTGCTTATCATCAGCAGTAGCGGTCAGAACGTCTTCCTCAGAACCCCTTTCGTGCCAGGCTCAGGCAGTGATTGCGGAGGAAGGGTGCCTCGCCCCGCGACAGGTGCCATGGTGCCGCACCTGGCGCCGGAGCAGGCTCCGCCCCCCGACCCGATCCGCCCCTAGGCCCTGGTGCACCTCAGACCGCCGGCTTACCCTGGGGCGGGGCATGTTTACCGGCTCC